GAGAGCTGCCCATCTGAGTGACTCCAGAGAAGACTATTCTGATTTCTATTCCTCTTAGTCCAGTAACCCAGGGCAGTTAAAAGGGAGCGAGTCGATTAACAATTTACGGTTAATGAAGGGCCTGCTCCTGTGAGGTTCTGAGTCCCTTAGTTGTTACAGAAGTCAAGGAAAGCACAAGGTGACTAGCATCTCTGAGAATATGGAAAGCACCTCACTGAATTGCAGCTCAAGCTTCAATTGCAGGGTCCAATTCTGTCTTCTGTTACATCTACACAATCCTATCCAAGGTGTAAGTAAAGGAAGAAGTTTTATTACTGTTATGGTTGGAGTGAGAACCAAGCCACACCCCACATGATGGCCATGATGCCAGCTGACAGGGATAAAAAACCCCCCCATGTCTTTACTTGTAAACCAAGCATATTGGGCCTGATGGCCACTGCTTCCCTATTACTACTGAATCCCACAATGACATATTTTAGAGTCAATTTCAGAGCGAAAAAAGGTCTTAAGAAGACTAAAAAGAGGCTTTTAGAACTATATTAGGGAAGAAGTGTTCAAGAAAATCCAAAGATCAAAGTCCACTCTCCAAGGTAAGCACTGCCCTCGATGTTGTGGTCAGAAAATTGGTTGTTAGTTTTTACCAAAAAATATATATTTTTGTCAACCTTTTCCCTGGAAAACGGAAGTTTTTTGCAAAAAAATTGAAATCCAAAATATTTCAGCTAAAAATCAAAGTAGTTTGATTCTGAAATACAACTAGGGTGTCTCGGGGAAGTTTTATTTTGCATGCTCTCAGTCTGTTCTATAGAAAAGCTGTCCACTTGCAGCACATCGCCCTTGATTTACTATGATCTCCTTTCTTCATAAGAGAAGGCCTCATTGTGACAGCTGCATGACCACAGTACAGCATGGGAAATGGCATCCACCAGAAGACCCCTGCTCATTGACACATGAGCAACCACTCCCATAAGACCCTGTAGTGACATTTGAGAAACAAAACAGATCCGCTGGGTAGAAATATGCTGGTTTTTTCCAACCCAGCCGAAACAACAAGAAAACTGTTTTTCAGCCATTTGTATTTTCCACAAAAAAATGGGTTCTTTTTTTTTTAAATTGAAACCCTAGTTTTCTGCTGAGAAATGACTTCAACAGAAAATGTGGAACCACCCTCTGCTCAACACCCTTGCCTTCACAGGGAGCTGATGAAGTCCTGCTTTTTTCAGGTGTAGGGGCCCGAGTAGTTAAGAAATTAGGTGATAAACTTATTTCCTCAGAGACAGTAAGTTATGGAAGATTGTAAGGTGCTGGGTGATCCTGGTAATTGCTGCCATAGGCTAATTTCCTGCCCTACTTAAAAATGAAAACTAGTGCTAGTTAGCACACAGAAAGCATAGTGCTTACAATATTTTTCAAGGTGAAAGGCTGCTTGAAAGGTAGAATATGGCAGCTTCTCTGGGTCAAACAGTAGCACTGAAGGAGGATCCCTTCCCTGCTGAAGGAAAAAAACTACATACATCTGCTTTTCCCCCACAAGGAAATTCCCTATCAAGGGGAGTCCAGACATCTGCCATAAACCACCTGGAACAGGGGCAGGGGGATGGGAATCGGGAGAGACGAAGAGAATGGATGGGAAGGATTTAGAAAGATGACGACTCAGAGAATGATCAAAGAGGTGGAGGGAAAGGCAAGTGCAGATTAAAAGAGCTAAATATGTCCAGTTTGATTAAGTGACAATTGAAGTGGGGCATGACAAGAGTCTGCAAGCATCTGAAGGGCCTTGATGGCAAGCACGAAAAGGGATTTCCATATAGTGGCAGATGGGGCCAAAGTAAAACCGAGGGGGAGCAATGGGATGAAATTTGGGAAATGAAAACTGGCTGAATCTTGGGTAGAATGTGCTGACAGCAGGAGGCCGTGGAACAGTGCCCCATGGAAAGTGGGGAAAGCCTCGGGGAGTTTGAAAACAATGCTGGACAAAGCTCTGGTTTTTTATTATGGGGAGTAACCCTGATGGCTGGAGGATCAGAACGGCCTCTGGCCATCCCTGGCTCCTTTGCTTCCACAATTGCAACACGTGACACCATGTGCGTTGTGTGTGGGTCTGGGCCGAGTCCTTACACTTTTCCTTTCCTTTACGTCCCCCTTTTGCCTCTCCAGCTGTGACTGTTGAGGCCACGTGCATGTTTATTCAAACATCCTCCCTGCCCTTTTTGTCAGCCATACCTTCCTGTTTTGTGCCAACCATTTTGCACAGCTGGGAATCACAGAGCTTGCCACTGCAACAGTAGGCTTCAGTGAGTCACCCCAGGGTGGTATCTGAGTTAAATAACTGCAGTTGTTTCCTCGTCAGATATAGGAAAGAATGATACACATATCCCTGACATCACTCACTGGCAGTTGTTGTCCAGTGGTGACAGCTGTCTTCAGCTCTGCGTCTGGCTCATGTGGTTTCTCCTTTATGTGACTGGGGAGTGTGCGCTGTGGGACCTCCTACCGCCAGCCCCAGCTTCTAAGATCTCAGCAATTCCTATATGAGCACGGAGGTGAGGTTGCTGCTTCTCCCACTGCCTCTGTCCCAGGGGCCTGGCAAAATGCATTCCCTCGAAAAGCACCAGTCTGAGCAAAGATGGAGGACGAGCTGTTTTAAACGAAGACAAAAAAAGACGACAAATTCTACAATGCCTTAACTACCCTCTCTCTCTGGGAAGAATTGATGTTTCTTCTTCTTCAAACCATTAGTAAATAATTAAAAGAGAGAGACAAAATATTCTCTAAAGATAACCTAGTCTTCTGTTTCCATGGTAACCTGTTTCCTAAGCCAGAAGCCTTTTGCTTGAGTCATACAGTAGAGGGTGGAAACCATTTTGTGGGGAGAAGGGAATTGCTCCTCCTCTCTTCCTGGAGACCATGACAATTCAGGCAGAAGGGTGTGTGTGTGTGTGGGGGGCAGACCACATGACTCAGGAGAAAAGAGGGAGCTTGTGAGGACATCTTGGACTACTAGAAAATCAAAGAACGTTCTCCTTTTCTGAGTTGCTTCCAAGTGAAAAACAGACAAAGCATTTACTCAGGGAGGAGGGGGGTCACTCTCACCATCTGATCTGAGTCTAGGTGGCAGGGAACTTGATAACACCCTCCACAACCACAATTGTTTTTGTTATTTGTTGTGTGTATTACTTTAGTGCTCAAGTGCCCCGATCCTGGACTAGGACCCATTTGTAGTAGGCACTGTACAAACAAAGAAACCGAGAGACAGTTTTTGCCCAATCAGCACAGCCATCTTCAGCAAGTAACTGAGGTCACCGGTAGATAGGAACCTAAGGAATGATTCAGAAACGACAGACGGTGTAGAGGAGGATGGCAACTTGACCCCGTTCTTCAGAAGTGGAATATGAGCCAGTGGTGAAGGTTGCAGCCTTCACCCCTACAACTATCCCTTATCCTTGGAGAGTTCAAGACTATGTTCCCAAGTCCTTCATTGCTCCTGTGTTGCAGTACACCTGTGACTAGAAGGGAGAGTGCAGGGCTGGACACAGGCCTGGGTGAACTGGGTGGCTGCCCAGGACCCAGACAGAAAGGGGCCTCCAAAATGGTAATTTTTATTATTATCTCTGGGGAAGGGGGCCTGATACTAAAAGTTTGCCCAGGGCCACCAGGAGCCTAGGTATGGTGCTGGGAGAGTGTAAGCCCAGCCACCACACTAGCATCAACAGGATAAAGAAAGCGTGAGAGGTTGATAGAGGGATGGATGAAGAAACATGTCTTCTGCATACCCCTAGCAGTTGCTCTTTTTAACTGTCTGGTCCCTCAGCAGTTTCTAAACAAGCTCCTTAGGAAAAACTGAACCCTAATAATGACAGAACAGGCATGAGATGGGATATATTTGTCTGAGCAAGTCAGGGGACACCTGTGAGTTGGGAAAGAAATGCTAGGATCTCCTGGGGAACAACCACTCTCTCCACACTCCTTTGAGTGAGAAAAACCCAGTCTATCCTTATTTACTTATGGGCTACCCACAAGCCCTTATGCTGGTTAGGCTCTCGTGATATCTAGGCTCTCTCTCCTAGAAGCAATGAGAAGTCCAGTCATACCTGCTTCCCCATCCATCAAGCATGCTAAATTGTGTGCAAATGGAGTTCTCAGAAAAGTTTCAACTCATCAGTTGTATCTATACATTTAAATGCTATAAAATATATACACAAGTGGCTTTAAGTGAAGGCAGGTGCGCATATGAAAACAAAACAGATGAGGCACCACCATGAAAGGGTGCGTGCAGAAGAATCTTTTTTGCATATGAGGAAAAAAACCCAGCCTGGCCTGCTGCTGAAAGTAGCAGCATCTCAAGAGCATCGTGGCTTTTACTATTGCACAGGGGAAGCAGCAGGGACCAACTTCCCAATGACATCATTCATGGGTGTCAGCCACTTCATCACAAGTACAAGTCCTCTTAACTCTCTCTTTTTTATCACCGCAATCCCTTGAGACACTAGGAGGAGGTGCCAGGTGGCTAGGTTTGACTGTGAACAGTACCTGTGTTTCTCCAATGAATCAATCAATATCAGCTATAAATCAATACCTGTCAATTCAATGGGTAACAGAGACTAGTCACCGGTCATTATACCACCTGTAAATGGGCAATAGCACTGGCCCATGGAATGTGCCCCACACCATAGACCCGTACAAGGACTGGGCCCCTGCCCCTGGGACTTTATGGGCACTGCACAGATACAGTTAACCTGGAACACAACTTGTCTCTCACTTGTGTAGATGCAGAGGACAATACCAGGGCCAGCAGAGAAACTTTTTCGGGTGTCCCCAACGAACCAGGGTAGATTCTGCCCTTGCTCTGATCACCAGTCCCTCTCTCAGTCCTGGCTTAGCTAATACACTTAGACTTCCATCCTATTCTCAGGGATGCTCAGAGTCCCAGCTCCTTATCCCACTCCTCCTAAGGCCACGTTTGAAATAACTGAAGATGTGCTATGTGCAGGTTGTCTCTTTTTTTTTTTTGTAAAGCCCTGCCTCTGGCTTCAAAGTGTATCAGGATAACAGTTTGGGCCTCAGGTGGCCAATTGCAGTCTTCTGTCTATTGTGGATTGACTGTTTTTCTTCCAACATAATGCAAAATCAGGCAGTATTTCTCTCCCCTGCTTGAATAAGAGAATGGTCAGGGAGAACCTACCAAAAGACCAACAAGTGAAAAAAAACAGAGTTAAGAACCTTATTATTGCTTTAATTAACCAGGACCAGCATCCTTCCTGCTGAGGTGGGGACTCCAGTGGTCCTGTCCTCTCCTTACAGACTTGCTATCCCTGCAGGGACAATGCATGCATTCTCCACAAAACACACATTTCTTCCAACAAATCACTTACATACATTAAGTTAATTATGCTGTTTTTGTTGTACCATTTGACACGTGTGCTGTTTGCAGCTCCCAGCTTATTGGACGCAACAGTTTCTCAAGAACCAGACAGGTAAAAATAAAGCAGAAAATCTGTAGAGAATGGCCAGGCTGCACAGTGCTTCCAAGCCCAGCAGGAAAGGTGTAGCCAAGAGGGGTTTGCTGCAGCAGCCAGAGAGACTGTTTTGCTTCTGGGAGAAACAATGTCTAGATGGGAATTTCCTTCCTTCCTCTGACTATCAATGTCCTCTGAACCTCCCACTCTCTTTTCGTTCCACCTCTCTGCCCAGAAAAACCTATCTTGGAGCCCTGTGGACTGTTGTTTGTGTCCCCATTTCTTTAAGCTCATCAGATCATAACTTAGTCCCGTTTCTTACCTATACATAAACCTGGAAAGAATAAAGGGACTTATGACTAGACTTCCAGGTCTGATCTCTAGTAAAATACAAGCAAAGAAAGTGAATGGTGAAGCCAAGGCTGACCATCCACTGAACGGAAAATGGATACAGTCTCAGGAGTCCTTGCTGCCCTAGTGATGAAAGAGAATCACATCTCCCTGATTTAAGCTTAAACCTGAAGCAGAACTTCCAGAATGAGGGGACAGCTTTCCCACATACCCCAGCAACTCTGGCCATCAATCAGCAAACCCCTACACACTATACTTCTTTGCAAAGTCCAGATAAGGTGAGAGACACTCTCCCCTCAAATTGTTACTAGAGAGTCAGTTAGCCATGAGATTGCACACCATGCACACACATGCACACACATGGCCAAGTTCTGCCCTCAGAGCCTGACCCTGCTAGGTTTTCCACACCTTCAGCTCCCAAAGGGGATTGATTCCTCCCACACACATATACTGGCAACAACTGAAAATAATTTCAGTGATGCCCCCCTTGGAGTTACACGGTTGTGAGAGCAGAACTGGTGACTTCCATGGAGTCAGTGAAGACATATACCAGCAGGACTGGGTGCAGAGTCTAGTCATAAACTCCAGCTCAGAGCCTGGGAACTGACTGAGGTTAATTTTGATTTGCTTTCTTTTTAAATCGAATTTTTGTCTTCTTTTAATATATATAGATATAGATATATATATATATATATATATATATAAAAATAACAGATATGTTTCTCTATAGATGGTTTTTGCGCCTTTGGGCTTCTAAAATAAAACCTCACAATTACATAAAACTAAGGGGAAAAATTTCACCCTCCACCTCTCCCCAAGCCCCAAACCTCGCAGAGATCGTGTCTCTTAGCAGCTTTCTTTTTCTTTGGAATGAAATAAAATGACAAAACCAACAAAATATAGCATCCCACATGCCCTCTCTCCCCTGAGCATTCTTGGTGTGCTTATACTCTCTCATCAAAGCACTCCATTGTGACCTCATATTGCTTCCAGTGCCCCACAGCTATTTGGTTTTTCCTGCTGTCTAGGCCAGACCTTCACTAAGCGTGAATCAGTATCAAGCCATCAAAACCAGAGTGATGCTGATTTACACCAGCTGAAGACCTTAAAGGTGCTTCTCTGCAATTTCTACCCACTGTAGATCAGGCCCACACATTTTGAATTTTCAAAGCAGAAGCATGAACAATAAGAAATTCTCCAAAATAAACCTTCCACCCCCGCTTCTGTTTTGCACCTAATTTTTTTGCCTCCCCCTCCCTCCCCCCATTGGAAAAGAACGGCCCCAAGTCCCCACTGTTTTTCCTTCTTAGCACTTTCTGGAAGTCATAATCTCTCAGTAAAAAAAATAAATAAATCAATCTCTCTATATATGTATATGTATATAGCTAACCGCCGCTGCCTGGCAGTCACTTGGCTTGGAGGTTCCACCCCCCTCCGAGTCTGGCCGGCCCGCCTCGTTTGCTGTGGTCTCTGCGCTGCTGCTCCCACTCCCGTACGCAGGCAGGATTGTTCCCATATTGCTTTCGCTCTCTTGCGCCTCTGAGGTACGGTACTGGAGTGTTTATTTTGTGTATATATATATTTATATATGTTGTTCGCTCATTTCTTTTCCCAGCAATCCTTTGGAATTGATGCTGGGGAGTGGTAGCACAACGCTCTCCCTTGCCCACACTGCACGCTCCCTTCCTGCTCCAGGAATCCTCATCTGTTCCTTTTGCTGACTCCGTTGCCCAGCTCTAGCTCTGATGGGAGTGGGGAGCTGTGCTCTGCTGTGCCCAGTTTGCTGGGGCCATCTGGGCCCTCACCCTCGCCTGCTGAGGGGGGGTCCTTGCAGAAGTCTGTCACCCAGGAAGGCATGGAAAGGAATCCCCGTGGGTCGACCGAGTAGAACTGCCTGGCTTCATTTGTGGCAGGGCCCCTGGATGTGTTGAGGCTGCTGGTGCTGTTGCATTTCTTCACAAGCGCCAGACCTGGGGGTGGTGGGGGCGGGGAGAAGAGGGAAGTCAGTGAGAGGCTGCTGAGGGTCTCTGACTGCTCGCTGTTGTTGCCGCCACCCCTGAGGCTGCTCCCCACACCCTCCTCATCAGAAGGGTCCATGGAATCATGGTGGGTGCACCCAGGGCTGGTGCTCCCGCCGCTGCTGTGGCTCCGCTGATGTCGCCTGATGTTCCCCAGGCTGAAGATGCCACGGGTTCGCAGGCTCCGCCGCCGAGAGGCAGGGGAAAGTGGAGCCACCATGGTTCTTTGGGTGGCAGCTGCTGGCATTGGGCACAGGGCCACTGGGAGGTCCAGAGTGCATTGGGGTGAATCGCTGAGGTTCAGGCTGTCCTCCAGGGTGGTCTGTAAGCTGCCTTCTGAACTATTGCTCCTGCTGTCATCAAGGGATGTGTCACTCTCCGTGGCCTGTGAGATACATGCACAAAAATGAGCGTACAGCTTTCAGTCTTTGTTTCTGTCATCTGGGACAACCAGGAGGGGGAGGGGAATGGGAAGGAAAATGTGGCAATAGCTTATATCCTCCTGGAGGATCTACTACAAAGCACACATTAGAGAGCCTAGACACAGCTCTGACAGCTGTTCTCCATCTGCAGGTGTCCACGGGCTGTGGGTTCCATTATCATGAACTGTTTTTTCCGCTCTCAGTCAGCCCGGGGGGTAGGGAAGTCACTCCACTGCACTGGGGATTTGGGTACTTTGAAGTCTGGCTTCACTCTGACTCAGATTGAAACCTCTCAAATTTGAAATTATTTACAACAGAGAATGGAGCCCTACAGTTCCCAACTCGAAGGTACCCTGCATGGCTGGTGGCCTGACAGCTGCAGACCCTTGAAGCTCTGGGAATACATGCCAATTAAGGCCTAGTGCCCTTCAGCTCCTTTTGGCCTAGCACGCACTGTATGCCTTCTACCACAGGACTCTTTGCTCTAATCACTGGAGCAAAGAGTCCCTGAACCTCTGTGTCCTTCTCTCTCTCCCTCCTCTCAATTAATCCTTTACTTCAAATCATACAAGGGTCAAGCCTGCTACCACAGCTAAATGGGGAAAGGAGACCTTACCTGATGGAGAAGGGAGCAATTTACACTTGGAGACCTCAGTGAAGCCCAAGATCCCTGCAGAGAGATCTTAGGAAGGCTGCCTGGACACAAAACCTTCTCCTGTCCTGCCTGTGTAGCAGAGAGGGCTGGATGGAAAAACTCCACTGGGACAGGTAACAGAGGGCTGGATGTACCTGGAGAGAAGGGGCTGGGGGGAACTGACAGAGATGGTAAAAGACAGAAACAGGGGAAAAAAAGAGCTCAAGTGTCCATTGATCCACTTTAGCATCCCTGTTCCTACAAGGTAAGGGACCTGCCAGTCCTGTAAGCTGAAGGTATTCAGTGACAAACTTCTAGACATGGATCCTGAGTGTTCATGTCATTGGTCCTACTTTCCCCTTAAATTGCCAAAGTTTGTAACAGTCTTACCAGCACAGAACAAAAGACCAACAAGGTAAATTAGAAACAATGTGCCCCTCCCATAAATGTCCTTGGAGCAAGAGACTGAAATGTGAAGGCCCAATTCAATTTAGGTGCAATTCACTGAATCAATGGACATACACCTTGGCTGATGCAAGGCAGTAGAAGAAACCAAAATACACAAACAGGTGAGCTGGGGAGCTCAGTGACCACAGGAGGCCTCAAGCAGAGTTAGGACAGTTCTTTCCAGGGCAGATGGTAGCACCTGACAGTCTTAAAAACAAGGAGCATGGTCTCAGTGATGGAGGCACTGTTTACCACAGAGTAAGTGGAGTTCATTCAGTCAGTTGGTAGCTTGATATGCTATCAGCCTTGAAGCCTCTGGCTCTCAGTCTCATTTATATTCTGCTCTGGTGCCGCACTCAGACCTTAGCATAAATGACCCTTATTTTGGTAAATGGCCCTGGTGTAAGGGTGCATGCCTTTAAGATTCTGCACCTCTCTCTGGGGCAAATCTGGAGAAAGAGAAGAGTCACCCTATAGCCACCTTGGGAACCAGGCAAGCATCATACTGCAACCAACCAACTGGAGGTTAATTCTTCTTTAGTGAACCCAATGCCTTGTAACCTCCATTCCTTATTGGAAAAAAACAGAACCAGGCCAGACCAGTCAAACCAGCCTGCAGCCTCACCCGAACTGGAGAGCGAAGGGTATTCTCCTCACCTTGGCGGCTCTCATGCTTCAGCCAGGACTGGACTGGATTGAAAGGGATTTTCTCCATTTCACACAAGTAACTTTCTGGATTCAGAGAGGCATCTGTATTTGATAGGGGGAGGAAACATTCCCCCACGCCTCCTCCCACCACAGAGTCAGGACTGTCCTGGCCGTTCTGTTGAAACAAATAAAGACATATCCTTGTGGAATTAACATGCACACAGCTTTAGCAAGACCTTGTGGCTACTTTTGAAAATACCAGAACCAAACACATTCATGTAACAAAACAGTATTCAGGTTTATGTATTCATCATCAATCTCTTAAATATTCCCCCACCCAAAGGAAGCCTGGTGAGGGAAATTGTAGCTTTCTAACACCTCTATGTTATCATCAAATCTGCTTGAGTGACAGGTCTCAAGGATGGGTTGTTATTGTTAAGTACCTGGCTTTTGCAGTCTTGAAGAGAATAAAGCATGGACATCAGATGACTGCATAGTACTCGAGTCAGTTGGGAGATAGAGACAGCATATGGCACATCTGTGATCACCTAGTGCTAATGACCAATAGACACTGTGCTTTTGTTCAAGACAAAGGCCTCTCATGGTTTGTGCTGTGCATGTGTCTGTAAGTTTGTGAAAGAGACTGTATCGGACAGTATGGGGAACTGAAGATGAGACACTTGTTGCTCAGTCTTCTCCTGGGTGAACAGCCAGACTTCCAAGGGAATCATTCCCATCCCCACAATGAGGAATGTGGTCTTGTCAAATTGCTGCTGGGAAGGGTGGTGGCTCTTTCAAGGAAGGATATGACATGCAGGGACTGGATGTTATCAGGGTACATATGTATGCCTACATGCTAGGATTGCCTTACCTTGGTCTCCTTAGGACTCAACTGACAGATGCTACGATTGTCCAAATCATCCCCTAAGAGGATAGAAGAGGACTTGTCTGAGTTTAGGGATAAGCCTTCCATTTCAGCCAGCTGAACCTAAAGCAGAGAAAAGTTGTCAGCTGAAACCAGCTGAAGCCTGTTTCTCAAGCAGTCATGCTGTTTACAGAAGGAGGGGTAGGGGGACAGAGCCCATATGCTTGAGTTTAAATTTTAAAAAAGCAACTATTCCTTTGTGTACATTGTGTCTTTGCTAACCCAGAGTTGGGCCTGGCAAGAGAATCCGCTTCTAGCAAAACACGACAATGTGGGCTGGGAGCTGCCAGGGACCATGCCAGCTGCTAGATCCAGTGATCAAGGCTCCCCTGGTGTCCAAGATGGAGAGGGGAGTCCATAGTCTGTCCCAGGTTCCTCCAGTCAGGGTTAACTGAGTCTAGTTAAGGAAAGGTCTCCCTCCATCTGGGGTAATGGAGTCACAGAGATGGAGACATGAAGAGAACTCCCTCTATATGGGGTTAATACATTCTGCTCTGTGCTGGATGAGGAGAGGACTCCCTCATCCTGAGGACACCAGAGAATGCCCAGGTTAAATACTGCAAAGGCTCTTTCATGCCAGGGATAACCATGCCTCCTTCAGTCCATGCCAATTATCATGCTTTTAATGCTCTCTTACCTTGGTCACTATAAGCTATTCCCTTCTTCCCTCTCTGCTTCTTCCCCCTTTCCCCTCTTGTCTGTCTATAACCTCAGCTAGCACTATCTCCTCCTTTTTGTTGAAACTTTGTCACCCCATCCTCCCTCCCCTTCATCTCTTTCATCTTTCAGCAAAAAGTCTAACCAATTCATCATTCTCACCCTATGGATCTGCACAGCTTTGCTGCTGCCTACATCCCAGCTTCTTTCATTTTCCATTCAAGTTTCTACCCTACATGCCTCTTCCCAGTACTCCCTCCCCTAAGCACTTTAATTGTCTTCCACCCATTGCCCCTTCCCCCTGTGCTTGGAAAGTTTCCTCGTTATCTTGGATGCTAAGAAATCCTTCTGTCCTCCTTCAAGGACTGTTCTTTGCTTGTCCTTCCATCGCTGACCTCTATAGCATAGCTCACTCCCACATTAGTCCCTGATCCTTCATTGTTATGCTTCATCTGTCTTATTTAAGGTTATGTGTTTCTCAGGGCAGTGATTTTGTCCTCCTATGGGTTTGAACAGCATCAAGTACACCTCTGGTGCTATGTAAATGGAAATATAATTTGGGGGAGATGACTCCTTCAGGCTGGGAGTTTAGCAGTCTGCCAGTGTCAGAGATTAGGACTCCTTCAGCGTGATAATTTACTTGGAATAAAGAGAAGGGAAGGCCTAAGCTGTTTTTTAAAAAGACATGAGTGACATCCATTGCTGTGATATGATTTTAACACACAAACACTGAGTTGTTTAACTGTTATGCTTGATAAAGTATGACCACCGCCAACTCAAAACATGGACAACCTAGAAACCCCACAATTACGTTATGTCAAACATGCTACAGTGCAACCACTCAACAACAGCTGATATACAGAAAGTGCAGTCTTCATCTGGCTGCGTTCAACGTGTGCTCATCCATAACACTCATAAGAAAACGTCCCATCAAAACAAAACTGAAAGCTGCACCTGTGGAGATGCAAGTGTAAAATACGAATAAGTCTAAGACAACCTGCTCCATTGCTAACATCAAGTTTCAAATCATCAGTGATCACTGCCACTAGAACGCTTGGAGCTTCATTGAACTGTTAATTTGTAGACTCTGGACACCTTGAAACCTACACAAAAAGATGTACTTAACAGAGTCATAAAAGGACAAATCACATGCTCAGAGTTAGTACTCGCTGCTGCTCATGAACAAACCTTGTGCCGATACTCCATCAGCCACTGCTGCACACTGCTAGCACATATGCAAACCTCATAAACACAGGAAATGAAGGGAGAGAGATGACATGAGAAGAGCATGGAATAATGTGGTGAGACTGTCTTCTTACATTTTACAGCTTCCATGAGCTACAGAATGCTGAAAGATATTCTGAATAAAGACATGGAAAGAAAGATGAAATGAAGGCAGTTGACCATTCACCATCTCAATACATTGGTTTGAAGATGTAAATGTAACCTCAGCCATAACCCTTAGTAAATAAGCTCACAGTAAAACTAGTCTTTATACATAGAGCCAAGATAATGACAGTCTTTAATTGTATGAACAGCTGTTTTGAAAATAATGATCTAGGGGTTCAATCCTGCACAGTGCTCAGCACTTTCACAGTCAAACAAAAAAGACATGTCAGTAATTTTATGCAGGCATTTTAAGTGTTTTGTTGGCTTAAGCCCCAGTATTCAGTACCTTGCCAGATCAAACCCTAGATGAGAAGGTTTAGATAAATATTGTGCTCCCTCTATATGCATTCTTAATGACTGCTTTCTGTAAGATAGGGGTGTTGAATGTGGCTCATTCATAGTGGTGGGTCATCCAACTCATGGAGCTTCTTGTGGGCTCTAACACCCATCTCCACAGGCCAGATTTGGCCCATGGGACTTGTTGCTATGGCTGCCAAAGCCCCTGTGATAGTGGCATTACCCCCTCACTGTTTCAGCACAGCTCCAGAACCCAAGGAGTTAATACCACTAGCCCTGCCCTTACCTCCTGGTGAAATTGGCAGCAGGGATGAAGGTGAGATGCATGGCTTTCGGTGGCTTCTTTCTTCCATGAGAGGGTGGGAAATTTTGCTGCCATTCTCTTCCCAGTGCAGCATGCTTACCAGTATGGCCTATACTTTTAAAAAGAACTCACCCTTTTAAAAGCCTAAGCACCCACCAGTGGTTGCCATCCTCCTTTAAACACCCTGAGTTGGAAACCCAAAATTGTAAGCACCCTAAATCATAAGTTCCTTATGAGAATTTGGGGTCTCCTCCCATATACCCCTGTGGGTAAGTTGGTGGAAGACTCTGCCACTGGAGATGTATGGAAGCATCTGCATCTCATTACCTCTGCAGGAAATCCATCATGACATGTGACTAAATGGAGAAGGAGATCTGGTGCCTCAGACTCAGGGGCATGGAGCCAATCTAATGCTCTCTTTTTGTAAACCTGACAGAGGAATCTACCAATGAGAGCACTGTTTGCCTAAATCACTGACTCATTTCAGTAACTAAAACTGTGGCATGTAAGTTAACTAGAGAGTGATGGTGATGATTAGTTGGATAACCTGAGATGTTACGATGACAATACCAAAGCATGAGCTGAGTTACAAAGACAACTCCAACCACCATCACAACCATTAGATGTAACAATCATGGATACTTTCATTAAATTAAAACTGAATTTCTCTCTGTGTGGCTTGGTCTTGGTTTTTAAATGAGTTATAACTAGATGAAGAGCCTGAAGGTTTATGGACAGGTTTACAAAGGCACCCAAGTGAATTAGGAGAGCCTAAAAACAATAGGACAACGTGCCTAGCTCATGTAGGCGATTTTGAAATTCCCACCCTTACTAACAAAGCCATTTGTCAGCTAGAAGGATCTCCACAAAAAAGAGACTCAAGAGACATTCTTAGAGGGTGAATTTATAATTAATTTTAACTCAAACTAATTAACAGATTTACTTCACAATCCAATCTTTACTCACAGATTATGGACCTATTCAATGAGGCGTTTATGTACTTACATGCTTAAGTCTCATTGACTTCAATGGGACTTAAGCAAGCATACATTTAGAATGAAGATGAATTGAGCCACAAATGCTGTAAATTTGGGAAAGAGATGCTGCATCCTTTCCCCAACACAAAGAAGCTGAGTTTCTCCTTTACATGCAAAACTGAACACAACCGGAGAGGCCTCCACAACAGTTCTCCAGCTCATTCTCTCCTGCCATCCTTGCTGAGACACCTGCCTCTACTTCCATCTTTTCATCAGTACAAACAAGCCTCCCGAGGCTAAGGACAGGCCAGTGTCTAATGCAGTATCAGAAGTGCACACTAGTAACAAACACAGGTAAAGCCTTCTGTCTAAGCCATCTATAGGAGCCAGGAGCATTGCCCAGGCAAGTCTCAAGTGTGTGGTCACATGGGCGCATCTGTGTGTTTGGTGGGGGGTTCCCCTCCCGCATCCTCGCCCGCAGGTTACCTCTTGCTTGTCATGGTTACACTTCTCGCACATGGCCGGCGAGGAGTAATGATGGAAGACGGAGCCCGATAGGTTATCGATGATCATTAACTC